TGGTGATGGGAAAAGTAACAGCGAATGAGCAGAGAGCACAGAGTTAGCAAAGGAATATAAATGGCTTTAAAAAAAAGAAAGAAAAAGCCCCGAGAGTATGGCCCCTGGACACTCTTTTAGCCCAGTAATGAATCACTCCAGAGGTTCACCTTTTAGCCAAAGATCAGACAGACCCATAGGACAAAATGAGATTAAAGGAGCACACCAGCCCAGGGGCAGGGACTAGAAGGCAGGAGGGGACAGGAAAGATGGTAATAGGGAACCCAAGTCGAGAAGGAGAGTGCTGACGTGTCATGGGGTTGTTAACCAATGCCATAAAACAATATATGTACTAACTGTTTAATGAGAAGCTAGTTTGTTCTGTAAACCTTCATCTAAAGTTCAATAAAAAATAATAAAAATTAAAAAAAGAAAAAAAGTCTCATGTCACAAGTCACCAAAGACAAAAAGAAAAAAAAATCAAGACAGCAGTACTGTATTCTTTTCATAAATAACACGCCCACACTACAACTTACAGAAATTGACATAACGCGCTTAGGAAAATAATATGTGGGGTGGTTGCGCAGTTGGCAAAAAACCATATAACATGCATGTTATTTGCATACAAATACGGTCTACCAATTTTTAATCTATCAAATTGAAATTTTTTGAAGTTTAAAAAAACTACAACCTCAAATGCTGAAAAACAGTGTAAAGAAACTGGGGTTTTTGTACATAAAAACTGGTACAATCCCTGCAGAAAACAATTTAGCAATAAGTATCAGCAGCCTAAAAGAATGAAAAATGTAAAGAAATATTTATGTATAAGGATATTCATAAAAATGCTATTTATAACTGTAAAAACTTAGATACAATCTAGATGTCCAACAACAGTGGAATGGTTAAATAAACTGTGGCATGCCTATATGTTAGAATATTGTGTAATTATTGAAAATAAGTTTTTAAGAATTTTAATGACACAGAAAGCACAGCAATATGTTAACAGTGGTATCTCTGAGCTGTGGGTAATTTATGTATTCTTTTTCATTTTCCTAGTCCTCTATATTACTTTCATAATTAGGAAAAAAAAAAAAGTAGTATGACTTAATAAGGAAAATCCAAATATATTAAAAAGAAAAAAAAAAAAAAGAACTGAGTAAATGGACACAGATTTACATTGGTAAAATTTATTCTTGAAAATGGTATTGCCCAGCTCTAGCCTACTTTGCTATAACACTGCAGAAGAGAACTAGTTATCTCAACGTCTATAGTAACACTTTGAAAAAGCAGAAAAAGCAAAAACCTTTAAAACAACATTATTTCAATTTAATCTTTAAAAAAATATAAAATATATTGGCACTTTTATACTACTTCTGACAATCTGAAAGCAAGAGTATAATCACTGTTAGAAAAACAACTGAAAGAAGTTAACAAGACCAAAAGCTGGTTCTTTGAAAAGATCAACAAAATTGATAAACCACTGGCCAAACTGACAAAAGAAAAACAGGAGAGGAAGCAAATAACCCATACAAGAAATGAGATGGATGATATCACACAAGACCCAACTAAAATTAAAAGAATCATAACAGAATACTAGGAAAACCTGTACTCTAACAAATTTGAAAACCTAGACGAAATGGACAAATTTCTAGAAACTCAGTACCTACCTAAACTAACACAAACAGAGGTAGAACAACTAAAGAAACCGATAACAAAAGAAGAGATTGAAAACGTAATTTAAAAACTCCCAACAAAAAAAAGCCCTGGCCTGGATGGCTTCACTGGAGAATTCTACGAAACTTTCAGAGAAGAGCTAACACCACTACTACTAAAGGTATTTCAGAGCATGGAAAAGGATGGAATACTCCCAAGCTCATTCTATGAAGCCAGCATAACCTTGATACCAAAACCAGGTAAAGACACCACAAACAAAGAAAATTACAGACCAATATCCCTCATGAACATTGATGTAAAAATACTTATCAAAATTCTAGCCAATAGAATTCAGCAACATATCAAAAAAATAATTCACCATGATCAAGTGGGATTTATACTAGGTATGCAGGGATAGTTCAACATTAGAAAAACAATCAATGTAATCCATCACATTAATAAAACAAAAGACAAGAACCACATGATCTTATCAATTGACGCATAAAAGGCATTTGACAAAGTCCAATACCCATTCATGATAAAAATTCTCAACAAAATAGGAATAGAAGGGAAATTCCTCAGTATAATTAAGGGCACTTATACAAAGCCAATAGCCAACATCATCCTAAATGGAGAGAGTTTGAAAGCATTCCCCTTGAGAACAGGAACCAGAGAAGGATGCCCTTTATCATCACTCTTTTTCAACCTTGTGCTGGAGGTCCTAGCCAGAGCAATTAGGCTAGAAAAAGAAATAAAGGGCATGCACATTGGGAGAGAAGAAGTCAAAGTATCTCTATTTGCAGATGATATGATCTTAAACACAGAAAACCCCAAAAGATGCACAAGAAAACTACTGGAACTAATAGATGATTTCAGCAAAGTTTCAGGATACAAGTAAACCTACAAAAATCAGTTGGAGTCCTTTACACCAACAAGGAGAACCTCGAAGAGGAAATCACCAAATGAATACCACTTACAATAGCCCCCAAGAAGATAAAATACTT